ATTTAAAAAAATAAAGCTGAAGTCATATCCCATATCTTAAAGAAACCTTCCCTAGCCAATAGGACTATCAAATCACCTGGCATCCATTACACCTCATTAAATAAATTCATTATGCCTCACTGTAGTTCTCCCAAAAGTATCTCAGTGTTCTCTGTCCCCTATAAAATGGGCACGTTGATGATGCAAGCATATGACAAGACGGAAACATCCTGGAACGTTTGGCTAAGAGTATCGGGTTTTGTTTTGTTTTTTTCCTGCGGAACTGGTGATTGAACTCAGGCCCTTGCGCTTGCCAGGGAAGCGCTTATTCCGCTGAGCCATCTCCCTGCCCCCCCTTTTTTTAATCAGGTTTTGTATTGTCATCTACTATACAATCTGTAAAGTTGGGCACAATGGCATATACCCTATTTTTCTGTTATAAAATGTTTAAGAAAGACCCATTTTCAAACTCTATAGTCTTAGTACAATGCTTTGCACAAAGCAGACTTTCATATTAAGCATTATGGGGTTTTTTTTCTTTTTGGGGAACTGAGGATTGAACGCAAACCCTTGCCCTTGCCAGGCAAATGCTTATTCTCTGAGCTATCCCCCACCCCTTGGGAATTTATGATTAAACAATATTGCCAAAGAATGTTGCTTCTTTGTTACAAAGAAGCATGTATTTTACATCAGTGTACATTATAAAATATATACAATTAGGATTTGTCTATTACACGTGTTAGGATAGGTGTTGAGGGACATTCTTTTATGCACTTTTTATTCCATACCAATGTTTCTTTTAATTGACAGAGCAATTAAGGCAAAAGAAGCCAACCTTTAGAAACTTTATTTCTCTCGTTGCAATTTTGTTGACAGATTTTTCCGGCTTCTCGTAGAATATCTTAATGGCCACTATCTGCCCGGTACTCTTATGTTTACATTTCATGACTGTGCCATAACTTCCCTCTCCCACTTTTCCAAGAGTTTCATACATCTCCATTTCCAAGCCTGACTTCTATTTCCTACGAACAAAGAAACAAAATGGGAACGGTTAAACATTTACACTCAGTTCTTTTCAAACTGTATAACCCATACACCCAACCAACCCTGCTTTCAAATATAAGGGGAAAAAAAAAACAAAAACCCACAGAGCCATGGCTTTGGGAACCGCCATCCGGGGGGCTTCAGACTCACACCCTCGCCGGAAGGTAGGAAACCACCCTACTGCCTCGTCACCCCCGTCCGCACCGAGGCGCCCCCACTCCCGCGCGCCGGGCTCCCCTCGCCCCCTTCCCGCCACGCTCGCTCAGGGAAGCCCGAAGGCCCGGGAGCTAGGAGAGCCTCAGCCCCACCCTCTCCTCAAAGGCAAAGTCTGAGAAGCCGGCCCGGCGTCGCGCCCTGTCCTCGCCGCCGCGGCCACCTCAGCCCATCCTGCGTCCCCGCTGGCCCGGAGCCGCGCAACGCAACACCACCCTCACGGCGCGTCAGGCCCCGCCCCCGGCTACCATGGCAACGGCCGGGCGGCAGCGCGCCGCGCGCGACCTAGTACGCAGGACCGGACGCCCGCCCAGATGCCAGAGCCGGGTCCCGGCGGGGTCCCGACCCGGAAGGGAAAGTGAGAAGAAGCGGAAGCCACCTCAGGTGGGCTCTGCGCGGATCCCGCCGGGAAGCGGGAGAGGGCGGGCGGCTGGCGCCCTGGAACGAGCTTGCGCTCGATTTTAGCCCGAGAGGGGTTAGAGCTGCACGTTTTGATAGCTTTGTGACTGCGGCTCTTCTAAGGGAAACTGAGACGGAGGTGTCTCGCTTGTGTCCTGGATGTGTCCGGAGAACATCAGCTGCTCAAGCTGAGACCTAGAGGGATGGCTGCTGTCACTAAGGAGGGACGACTTGCACGAGGAGACCTCGAAGGAAGTCTTGTGTGATTGGTTGTTCAGGTTGCTTAGTTACATTAATATTCCGTAGACTTAAGTTTGACCTCAGCAGTCGATACATCCTTAAAATTGGATTAAGAGGGTTCTTTAATTAAAAAAAAAAAAAAACTTTCTGGGAGTGTAGCTCAGCGGTACCTTGTGTCGTTAGCCGGCGCTGAGGCGCTGGGTCCATCGCCAGCACCAAAGACAAAACTATCAAATCCTTTGAAAATGTATGCTTTCTGCCGGCTAAAAATCTTAAACTCCTAATAAGCCTTTTAAAAATTTCTCTCAAGGGGCCGGGGAGATGGCTCAATAGCATAAGCGCTTCCGTGGCAAGCGCAAGCTCAATACATGCCAAAATTCTTAGACCTCTCTCTTTAGGAAAGCAGATAATGCAGAGGTTCTGCCACACAGGTGGTGTGATACACAGAGGAAAAGGAAGGCTAGTATCCAAGTTTTTAATAAGTAGGATACGCTGGAGTTACAGCACCCAGTGAAAAAGAGAACACTAGTGCAGGTGCTCAGAGAGTGCCATCTTTATTGGAGCCTTCTTTTCCGTGAAGTATTAAATGTAAAAAGCCACTACTGATCAGGAGATTTAAAAAAAAGAAAGAAAGAAAGAAAAAAAAGTCACCACTAGCTATGCTAGCCCAGCTAATAAATTATAGTCCAGTGGGTCCCACCCCAGCTCACTCATGAAAATTATACTTGGAGAAGTTCCACTTCCAGAAAACTTGATTCAGTTGGTAAAGCAACTGGATTTTATTTTACGGTACTGGGGATTGAGCCCCTGGGCCTTCTACCACAAGAGGGTTACTAGAAAT